AAGTGCCTTGAATAAACTGGTAAGATTCTTTCCGGTGCCCTAATTTCCCGCCCTCGCGTGCCTCAAAAATTTGAAACGCAAACCGGATGGCCCAATTTATGCACGTACAAAGAAAAAGCTCATCATTTCCGTTCCTCACAAATTTTCAAGGAACAACAGAAAATTGAAGGCACACCAACACTGGCCAATTTATACGAATGCGGACGAAGGAAATTAGCTCATATTTTCGTCTGTGGAATCTAGGCAAAAAATATATTGTTTCTCAAGAGGAAAGAAAAGAATATACTGTACATGGAACACGAACATGGTCGAAAATCACGCCACACATCCCAGTATTCAACACATTGACAAGATCCATCTTTTTCGCTGGCGTGCGAAGGTGCGTAAAAATCGTGCTAATATCAAGGGAACTCCCGTCGCCTGATTTCCCCATACTTCAAGTTTCCTCGCACACATTTGCCATTTGAATAGACGAAGGTTCGTCGGCAAATTGTAAATAGAAAATTACACCACATAGACATTAAAATAATGCTTGAATTGAGGCACCGGGCAATTTTTTCCGCGCTCCGATTCCCGTTTCCATGAAAAATCTAAAATGATGTCAACGAAGAGGGTTGTTTCATAAGTTTTTTCCAGTCCCAAGGATACTGGCTAATTTATAGTTGGATGCTTCGAGATGAGCGTGATTTGACAGTTTTTGTTTTACGAATTTACAGCAGTCTACGAACCATCGAAAGCAATACTGTACAGGTACAATATTTAAATGAAAACTTGTCTTAGTTCAAACTTAAAAGATCCGAAGAACTTTTTTCTGCAAATAAATTTGGAAATTTGTGTCCTATTAATGCCGAATATGAAGGCCCGCTGAAACGTGAATTGGTTAAGGAACATTTTTCTAAATTTGTGATTCCGATTGAAATAAAATATGAATAGAAATTTAATACAGAAGGACCAGCTTTACGCTGAAATTCAAGAAACTAGAAAAAAAATCTTTGCGGAGAGAATTTCGTCATAGATAACCCCTATATCCTATAACATGCGGATCGAACCCTACAGGGCCGAAAACTAAATTCGTTATACAGAGAATATCGTTATAGACGAGATCGTTGTAGAGAGAGAGTCCACTAGACAAAAATTCCGCAATTCTCTTCAAAATATTAACGGAACTTTTTTACCTACCCTCGTACTACTCAAGGATATTTTCGCCGGGTGACCTAAAGAGAATTTTTACTGCGAGAGGATAATTTCGGGAAACAACTGATGGTGTTCACACACTGTTGCGAAGCACGAATGGGAAAAGCTTGAAGTTAATACTCTCAACACTCTCCCG